CTTGGCAGTTAAAACCACAGTTTTAAGACAACATGGCTAAATAATAGTGACTTTTTCAGATTCCTTCAGGTACGCCACCACATAAACAGTTCTATGTTAGAGAATCAGAAGGCGTTCGAAAACAATACTGAACGTTTTTATTGGTGCATATGGTACAGATTCAGGGCTCAACGTGATTTCAATATATAAGGGACTCCAGGAGATTAAAAAAGCAAGTACCATATATATAAAACAAAAATGGGAAAGGGAAACTAACAGTTGTATTCCAGAGGAAATCTGGACCAACTATTGTGAATTCCAATGGAGAATAACAAGCTCCTCCTCATGGAGAGTGTTCGCCTGGAAGAGTCTCACTAGATTTTTGATCACGCCCGCCCAGCAGTCTCACCATGGAGAGGATGCTGCTGGAGGAATTGTGGCTCCCAGGAAGCAAACCATTACCACATGCTCTGGGATTGCCCAATAGTAAACACTTTTGGGCATAAGGTTTATAAAGAAATTGTCAACATATTTGGAACAAAAATGAATTTTAATTGGGACGAACTCCTCTTCGGTTTCCTGCACTCAACAGCCACAAATATTAAAACAAAATACTTATTTGGGATGTTGAGTGTAGCTGCCAGGAAAGCAATCACAAAGGAATGGCTCAAACAAAACAGCCCATCGATAGATGATTGGTACGATATGGTTTATGAAATCTAAGGGTAAGAATAACTTTCTCTATGAGGCTCCAGGAACTTAACATATGGAATTATATTGTGAGAAAATCCTATACAGTGACATCACGATACACACTATTTTTTGAATTGCTAGAAAGCATGTTGTCATCAAGACACGAAACGATATGTATCCATAATGTATGTCAACAACTGAACAGTGAACTGTTTCTTTATGTGACAATAAAAAATCTCCTTCTTAAACAAGTATATAAAAAGCCTCTAGAATCAGCTTAAAATGTATATACACAAAGCTGAAAACAGGCTTTTTTTGGGTGAAACTCGTGACAAATCAACTCTTTAGACATACATGGTTCTCACAGCAATGCAATAACGATAACAACATATGAGGACCTTATTTAATATGATGCATTGCTGTCGATTAAACTGACTAACAGTAAATAAAAGAGTTGAAATATGTACAACCATGAACATGTACAGTATATCAATCAACATACACATGAATGCGAAAGTATTTTTGATCCAGAACCATCATAACACACTGACAGGGAACATTTGACTGCAATGAATGCTTTTACTTGAATACTTGAGGAACAACAGTGCAGATTTTATTCAAGTAAAGTTTGTAATGCAGGACTTTGAATTGAAGTAGAGTATTTTTTTCAGAGTTTAAGTATTTCAGCTGCAGTAGTATCTTTATACTGATTAAGAAACAATGTTTAAAAAAATATGTGCACCACAAGCTATTCTTTTTTTGTCTCTTTTTCACTCCAATGTTGCAACTGATTCTCGTCTGAAAAGTGTCCCTGAAAAGTATTCATTTTTCACATATCTTTAACGCACGTTTTCTGAAACTGATGACGTGGAACCTTTCCTGGACTGTGGAAAATAAAAGTTGCATATGTAGTTACAAGTCACAGCATGACAGATATATCAAAGGCAATCCAAACAAAATGAGGGCATGAAGAGGCCTGATATCCAAGCAGGAGAGAAGTAGCACATGTTCTCAGTCTCTGTATTTGTCTTTGTCTTAAACACACATAAACACACACTCTGTACTCAGCAGCTGTTTATTGGTTTTCCAACAGCAACATCATATCACACCACATCATCGCTTACTGTATTTCAAGTAACAACAATGGATCCACATGCAGGAACAGCCTGCGTGCAGGTCTGGAGTTTGTGTGTAATTTGACACATACACACCAACACACATTTTGCCTAAAGGAAATAAATGACCAAAGAAACAGGTTTGTTTGGGTTTGTGGCTGGTATGAATTTGAATTTTACTGTGTATTTTTTGCTACATCACAAGTGTATATCCGGTATGCATTTAAACCACCAACTAATGTTTGTGAATGTGACACTACCTTCTGTACTCTTTACAAATCAGAGAGGGAGGTCCACACTGAATTATTTATAGCTCAATGGGCCAATTCTTAACACACTGAGCTGGTTGCCAGGGGCGTCTAGGGTCCCCAGCTGTTGGCCCTGTCTCCCCACAGACAGGAAACCCCATACTGTCCGACTACTAGACTGCCAGTCAGTGTGACAACAAACCAAAGCATTGCCTCTTTACACCGTTTCCCTTCCCCCCTCACCACACCGACCATATGTCCTGCCAGTCAGGTAAACTAGGTTAGGAAACAGAATCAGTGTCGATAACAATTGTTATTATGGCTGCTACCTTTTTTTGTAACCTTGATCCTGTAACAACACTGTTGTCAAATAACACCTTGCATTATAAATTATTTTACTATTTACTAGTGTTATTTGGCTCTGCATTACTTGTATATATTTCAACTACTTCTACAATGATGCCGATTATTTCTTCTTAATTGTATTTGTTTGATTTGATTAATATGTGCATGTCTCTTTATTTAAGGGTGCTATATTCTGCTCATGTTCAGGTTTATATTAGTATTTAGTGTCTCTGCAGTGACATGTCTCCCTGCTTTAATGTTCAAAAAGCTCGGAGGCCATTGAATCAATTAATATCAGCATTTATCATATCAAAGGGTTGAACTTCTGATACTGTAAACACCTGATAAAGATGAGGGGTTTAAGCAAATGACAGAGAATTCATAATTTAAGTCAATGATATTTAACCTGCATGAACTTAAACAAAGATGTACTTGCCTGGGTACAGTTTGTGTCTTTTATAAAAAAGAGTTAACATGACATGGAGCCAGAGAAAGTATTTGCCCTTTTTAGGTACATCTCATATTTTAATGATAAAGGCTAAAGGTATCCTTTTCATTGACTTAATATATATAGGCAAGCCAAATGGGCTCTTCATTTCTTATCTCTTTTCTCCTGCTTTGGCTGCACCAGACACTTTGTTTTGTTTCAAGGTTTGATATGTTGCTCACTGATGGCTCCTTCAAGGCCTGGCGCTGTGCTGATGGACTTTTGAATCATTAATGTTATGAACGCTGCAGAGATGAAGCTGCTTTCTTGTTTAGTCTTTGCTGTTTTATTGATTGCGTATGTACTTTTGTCTATTGTAAATGTCCTCGAATAATCAATTAGATGTTTGGTCGATAACATCTCAGAAAATGGTGGAAAACATCTTGCAAAATATGAATATCTTTCCTGGCATAAAGGAGTAAAGAAACCAGACAATAATCACATTTAAAAAGCTGGAATTCAGATATATGTTCTGAATTTACTCAAAGTGCTTTATCGTCAAAATACTTGCCGGCTAATTTAAAAGTCGATTTATTTTGTAACTCCAAAAAGAAACCTGACGAATATTGGTTTTGCAACAAGTTATGAAAGGTTTCATTGTGACTGTCTGAAAATGAGTTAAGTGTGTTTACATCCACTACTTTCTTATTGACTTTGTCCACACTGCCTTTGTTTGGGATTCATTAGGGAAGCCACTATGAACTCAGCTATACAAACTGCCTCACTCAAGTCTGAACAAACATTATTGGGAAAACATCTCCATAGAACAGAACACAGACAATGATCAGTGTAATCATTCTGCATGTGTTCATGTGTGGTCACACCACCTTCACATCTGATCTTTGAAACCTGGCAGACTATCGCACAAAATGCCCCACTGCCTGCTATTCTTTCTTTCCTTCTTTCTTTTTTTCTCTTCCTCTCAAAGTACAGGAGTAGCGTGAGCGAGAACAGCGTGCCCGCAGCCAGCAGCCCAGGACCGGTTGAAACCTGTATAGGGTTGCAACTGAGGAGACATTTCCTCCACCCTGTGCATCATCAACCAAATCCAGAAAGAGCTGGATATGATGCATGACTTCAGCACTCCAGGGTCCTATTAACTGCTGAGTTTATCAATACCCATAATACAGATAGAAAGATGGATAGATATATACATACATAGATAGATAAACAGTGTTGCCCTATGGTAATAACATGGTATATGGTAATTACTGTGTCGTGTAACAAAACAAGACATCCTGTCCAACACGTGGCACGTGCACAAAAGGCACATGTCAGAAGTCTTATAATTAGTCAGCTAAGTTCTTTCAACACCACGATGCATTTGTGGTGTCTGCTGCTGCTACTCTGAAACAAAGAGGGGGAAGCAGATGCCGCGTTCAATTCTCACTGGAAAGTCGGTAAATAAAGGAGCTCGGCTTTCAGTTGGTAGGCCGTGGAAAGTATGCTCTTGGTTTTTGTTCGGTCATGCATTTCATTTGTTTCACTTGCTTGATACCTGCTTTAGTTAAATTATAAAAGGCATTTTAATAGTGACACTTTGTACAAAAGTAAATATAACCCCATTGACCCCCCGACCCCGGCATGAGTTAGGCCTACATATAGCTTAGTGCCTTATGCAAACCTTGGGGGAAAGCATTTGCGTATTCACCAGGTATTCACACCTATTTGAGTTTGTTTCTTGTTTTTTAGAGAGGGGTCTAATTTCTGCTAGTAATTAAAGGATAGTGGCTATATTTACCACTTCAAAAACAAATGTAACTCCACAAATAATTGCTCGTACATACGGTTGGGAACATAATAACGTTAAGATATTTCCTTCGTCAGAGATGTGCGAACGTTAATATAAACGTAGAAATACAAGGTAGAAATTATTTGCATCATTATAAAAGTAAGTGAAACATTAATTAATGCAGTAGCAGCCAAATAACACCAGTAAATATATTGCAAGGTGTTATCATAAACCGGTCTTTGTTACAGTATTTTTTTTTAAAACGTAGCAACTAGTAATAACAATCGTTATCCGTTATTTTTCAGGCCAGCCGTGGGCTGTTTAACCTTCTCCCACACGCCCTGAACGCAGCACAGATAAACTCCAGGGCGGTGTCTTCGGGAAGTTGCCGGAATGTCATCCTCCAATGAGAGGCTCACATAACACCCACAGCAGCGGTCTGAGCGGCTCCATGTTGGATCTGCCTGCTCTTAGAAATACATTGGAGCTCTGTCAATCCGTCTGTCTGCGCGTATTGTCTGACACACGGCCGGGCAGCCGGCTCTGCTCCCGGGCTCAGGTAGGAGGGATGTAGCCGACAGACCGCGCTGTCACCACCAAATATTCCTCGGAGCTTTTTGTTCCATAAAACCGGCGTCATTCCCGCACTTGTGAGCGGGGCTGAGAAACCAGTTTAGAGGCGCACCTGAACAACGGAGCGAAAAGTGGCATGCAGGCGGAGGAAGAAATAATTGGATTGAGATAACGCCTCGTAGGCAGTAAGTGTATTTTCCGTTACCGTATGTTTTAATTGTTTACTTTTAACTGTAATTTTCAATAACCTGATTGATATTCCGAGCAGATAACGCTTTCCAGAAAAATAAACTGGTTACCTGAGTGTTTTACGGCGGCACATGCCGATTCTCAATTGAACATGTTTCAACAAGTCACATGACCCAATACCCAACTGATAATAACTGCGCACTCACGTGAAGGGAAAAGTCAAGCGGTTCATCATTCTGGGACAGACATGTCTTATTTCCTCTTTTGGTTGAACTTAAAAATGCATAGTCTACAGCCTGTCTTTCAGCAACCTGTTTCCTGTCTGTCTGGAATCTAACCCCCAGAACTGGTTTCAACTTAGTTTACCCTAAACTCAACATTTGTCGTAATGTAATTACACTTAGCACGCAGTACACTGGCTGCCATCACGTGGTGAGGTCAGTTGTATGTAGTTTATCTGCACAGGGCAGCAGGGACATGGCACTGCTGCCAGGGTGCCATGTGGTAAGGGGCCCCTCCCTGTCCTGGGGGGGCCACCACACACTAAGCTTTGTTATGTTTTCACATAGTAGCCTGTTAAGATGTGTTACCTCTGCTAAGTGTGATGAGTTGGGGGAGGGTTGATGAGTATAAAGCACTGGAGCTCAACTTTGTCACCCTTGCAGTACACAAACACCACCTGCACTGCCGCAAGATAAATCATTAAGCATGTCAAATATTATTCAGCCATCAGTCATTTAATTATTCACTCATAACATGTCAAAAACAACCTCCACCCCTACTTGGAAACTCTCAATAATAATAGCATTCACTCAAAAATAAAAACATGAAGTGATGACACACTATCATGAATCTTATTTTGCAGTGAAGCAACATCAGAGTGTAACAGATACAAAAAAACGGTATAACAGCTGTTAGAAGTTTATAACATATATCTTGTTTCAGCATATAAAATGGTGGTGCAAAAAGACCAACAATATCTGAGGTTATTTAGAAGCCCTGTTGCCGTCCCATAGTTTGTCCAGCAGAAAACAGATGACTTGCATGTTCCTGAAAGGTAACTTAGTATAACATAGTAGTAATACCCAACACTGGGAAATCTTGGTCTTGATATGGAGACAATAGCCTGAGACATAGGTTATTGCATTTTTTTTTTTGGCTTATTATGCCAATATAAGCAGATATTTGTTACATAAATAGGTTACATTTTTTATCTGGATCTAAGAAATGTGGTGAAAAAATGTAACAAAAAAATTCTCAATGCTATATAAATGAAAATCAATGAGATGCTGACCCAAATAGTCTCTAAATAAGAATAAGAAGTATCAGAAGTAAGTATCTCTGGATATAGTAATTTCTGACATTTAGGCTGATACCAAATATCCATAATAAATGTAGGTCAGCTGATCATGATTACTTTTTTTTTTGTAATGGTCTTCTTAAATGATTCATAAAGTATAATTTATGTGCATTACATTTTAATGAGCCTACATGTGTCATAGGGAAGGAAGCCGGATCTGAGTGGTTTGTTGAATCACATGTGACCAAGGCAGCCCATAACAAACAGACTTTCCTTCTTTGTCTGTTGGTAGACACCTCAATTAGCATAAAGGGAAATGCACAATTTATACGCACATGGACTGATGAAGAGAATCTTTCATGATATATGTCTCATTTCTGAAATACAATTTATTTTATGTTCGAGAAAGCCATACCTTTTTAAAAAGCCCTATTCTATTTTTTTCTAAACCTCTCTAAAAAGGTCAAATGTCACTTGTTTTGCATCAATCTTGATACAGGGTACTTATTATATGTTATAGTTTGGATTCCTAAAGCTTTTAGTCTACTATCCCATCATTCAAGGGTGGTTTTCACTATAAGTAATGGTTTATTTTGCACGGACTCTATAATTTACGTTTTTTAATATGTCCAATCTGAATTGACTTTAAAATAAAAAAAAATCTATATTGATTCTGACTTTTCTACATCCAACTCACAGGTGTATCATTGCTTTGAGAAAAAAGATTATTAATTTACCCCTTTTTTAGAAGGGAAGTTATAGTCATTTGTTCTGGGAATGTCATTTTCGAGCCTGAGGCCTGAAAAACAGACTCGGGGCTTAACAGGTTAAATAACTGCTGCTGAATTGTAACCTGTTAACTTGTCAAAACACAATTATTTCATTGTGGATTTAGGGGATTAGAGGTAGGAAACAGATGAAAGAATAACCAAATGAAAGCCCCCTCCACTAAATGAGAAAAAGGCAATTCACTAAATGAAACACACACGTGCAAAACATCTTATTGAGTCAGAATAGTTGGTGGACATCAAATAACTGTCTTCTCTATTTCCTCTCTATTCCAGTAACAGCCTGCTGTAGTAATCTGCTTAAACATCATTAACACATAACTGAATGAAAGTAGACTGCAAAGTGAGAGTTGGCACCCACAGATAAAAGGCTGGCGTTTACAGTGCTACTATCTTCACATCCACAGTGTTTGTATCATAGAAACTCATGGCGAACGTTATTTTTATTTTCATTTTTGTTTCCGTAAAGCTTACTCAATGGGACTGGGTATCATTTTAAAGATAGTTATTGACCATTTCAGATATTGGTCATCAGACAGAGGGATAAGGGCAGCCACTAGCGATTATTTTAATTTTATAATCTTTTGTTGATACATTTTTCTTAATTAATCATTGCTCTATAAAATGTCTGAAAACTGTGACAAGTTAAGGTTTATAGGTGGTGTTTTAAGATCTCATATTTGATCTGACCCACTTCCAAACCCAAAGGCATTTGGATAACAATCATAGAAAAGCGGTAAACTTGGAAATAGAGCATTTATTGAAATGTTTTGCTTAACAATTACAATTACTAAGGATGCTCCGATCAGGGTTTTTGGGGCCGATCGCCGGAATCAGAATCGGCCGATACCGATCATAGGGTGGGAGGAGGCTATGGGGATCTTCCATTTAAAGTGAAGTTTAAAACTCAGTTAATTGGGCTCATTTTTATATTGCTTCAGTTTATAATTGTAACGGATCGAAAAGTTCAGATGAATTTTTCAATACATTATTACATTCAAATGAAGTACATTATTCAAGTTTACATTAACTTTGGATAATAACACGGGAGAAATGAGCGGAAGCGCTTTCTCTCTCTCTCTCTCTCTCTCTCTCGACAGCCTGTCAGTATCTCATGCAGCTCACTGATCCAGTAATGAGTGACCCGACAGTGAAGAATAAACATATTTATAACTAGTTTAGCTTGTTCCAGAGGTAGATAAAATAGCTAAGTGTGTTAGGTCTAACTCTTGTCTGTTTTGCTCCGCTTACCGGTCCGGCGGGCGGAGCTGCTGGATTTCTGCTTCACACACGTTGCATACCGCTATTTTATTGTCATTTTCAGACACCTTAAAATAATGCCAGACCGGTGAAGCCATTTTGGCGAGTTTTGCAGCGCACAGAGAAAAGTGTCATGTATTTTACGTCATGTGATCGGCTCTCACGATCGGACTTTATAAAGAGCACCGATCACACTTTTAAGAGTGAATATCGGCCGATAACGATCGGCGGCCGATCGATCGGAGCACCCCTAACAATTACCTTAATCATAAAAATGCAACCACATAATTTTCTGTTAATCAATAAATGTTGAATCAAGCAGAAACACTTGTAGCATGACATCTTTGAGCCTTACTTTACATTCTACTTCCTACAATGTGACTGCATACGCATATTGTGATGTCAATGCTGAAACGATATATTGTCCAACCCTTGTACTAATTGTTAATGCTAAAACAACTAGAATGGATGAACTGACTCTCCTCTGTTTGTTGCAGTGATGTTCACGCTCACTGAGGTTGCGTCCCTGAATGACATCCAGCCGACGTACCGCATCCTGAAGCCATGGTGGGACGTCTTCATGGACTACCTGGGGCTGGTCATGCTCATGCTAGCCATATTCGCCATGACCATGCAGATCACCAAGGACCAGGTGGCTTGCCTTCCTTGTCTCGAGGAACCGGACGAGGCTTCGGGGGTGAAGCCTAATTCGTTCACGCAGCAGAGTGCACAGAATGGGGCTTCAGCAGCAGCCCCCGTATCAACATCCCTACCCCTAGTCACTAAGGATATGCCGGACGAAATGGCCCATGAGATCCACGTCACACACCAATACAATCAACCTGAACCGACAGGGGTCAGGACCAACCTGGACTACCAACAATATATCTTCATCAACCAAATATGTTACCATGTTGCCTTGCCCTGGTATTCCAAGTACTTTCCTTACCTCACCCTCATCCACACCATTGTTCTCATGGTCAGTAGCAACTTCTGGTTCAAATACCCCAAAACCAGCTCAAAGATTGAGCACTTTGTTTCAATTCTAGGTAGATGTTTTGAGTCTCCCTGGACTACGAAGGCTTTGTCTGAGACAGCTTGTGAGGACTCTGAGGAGAACAAACAGCGGTTGACAGGCACCTCCATGGCCCAGAAACATGTATCTTTAGAGGGGAAGGACGAAAGCACAAATGTGAACTCCTCCACACCCATGATTGGGGTGAAGTTCTCTGCAGATAAGCCTATCGCAGAGGTCCCGAGCAGTATGACAATCCTGGACAAAAAAGACGGAGAGCAGGCCAAAGCCCTGTTCGAGAAAGTACGAAAATTTCGAGCTCATGTGGAGGACAGCGATTTTATCTACAAGCTTTACGTAGCGCAGACTGTCGTCAAAACGGTCAAGTTTATTTTGATATTATCCTACACTTCTACATTTTTGGCTAAAATAAATTTTAAGCACATTTGTGAACCCGATATTAAGCAGCTAACTGGATACCGAAGGTTCTACTGTACGCACAACATGGCTTTCATGCTGAACAAGCTGCTCATTAGCTACATGGCTTTAATCTTGATCTACGGGATGGCTTGCTTGTACTCTCTCTTCTGGGTGTTTCGAAGACCGCTCAAAGAGTACTCATTCGAGAAGGTCCGTGAGGAGAGCAGCTTTAGTGACATTCCTGACGTCAAAAATGACTTTGCATTCCTCCTACACATGGTTGACCAATATGACCAACTCTACTCCAAACGCTTTGGGGTCTTCTTGTCCGAGGTCAGTGAAAACAAGCTTAGGGAAATCAGCCTTAATCACGAGTGGACCGTTGAAAAACTGAGGCAGCTTGTGATCCGTAATGCAATGGACCAGCAGGAGCTGCACCTTTTCATGCTCTCTGGTCTTCCCAATGCAGTGTTTGACCTAACAGACCTGGAAGTGCTGAAACTGGAGCTCATTCCTGACGTGAGATTCTATGCCAAGGTCTCCCAAATGAGCAGTCTGCTGGAGCTGCATCTCCTGCACTGTCCGGCCAAAGTTGAGCAAAACGGCTTTGCTTTCCTCCGGGATCATCTCCGCTGCCTTCACGTCAAGTTCACTGATGTTGCAGAGATCCCGGGGTGGGTGTACTTGCTGAGGAGTTTGAGGGAGCTCAACCTCATGGGCAACTTGAGCTCTGAAAATAACAAAATGATCGGGCTAGAGTCCATGCGAGATTTGAGGCATTTAAAGACATTATGCTTGAAGAGCAACCTCACAAAAATGCCCACAAACATCACAGAGCTTTCACCACATCTGATTAAGCTAGTGGTGCACAATGATGGTACTAAACTTGTGGTACTGAATAGTCTGAAAAAGATGACAAATCTAATTGAACTGGAGCTGCACACGTGCGAACTCGAGAGGATTCCCCACGCTATTTTCAGCTTGACCAACCTGCAGGAGCTCGACCTTAAATCGAACAACATCCGAACCATAGAAGAGATCATCAGCTTCCAGCACCTCAAGAGGCTGACGTGCCTCAAACTGTGGCACAACAAAATCATCACCATCCCTTCCTCCATCGCCCAAGTCAAGTCTCTGGAGTCTCTCCACCTGTCCCACAATAAACTGGAGACCCTGCCCCCAGCCCTGTTCACGCTCCCTAAGCTGCGGCACTTGGATGTGGGCCACAACTCCATCACAGTGCTCCCTCCGGATGTGGGCCTCCTCCACAATCTCCAGCACTTAGCCATCAACTCCAACAAGCTGGAGGTGCTGCCCAAGCCTCTGTTCAGATGCACCAAGCTCAAGGCGCTGTGTTTGGGGAACAACGCGCTCACCGTGCTGCCGGAGACGGTGGGTCAGCTGGTGCAGCTCAATCAGCTGGAGCTGAGAGGAAACTGCCTGGACAGACTGCCTGTGCAGCTGGGAAACTGCCGCCTGCTGCGTAAAAGCGGCCTTGTGGTGGAGGACCATCTCTTTGAAGCACTGCCTGTGGAAGTGAAGGAGAACATCAGCAGAGAGAACAACGTGTCGTTTACCAGTGGCTTATAGCACACAAAGCATGACAAGCTTGCATAATGGATGTACGAGTAAACTCTTAATGTGTGTTCACACTGGACGCGAAGCAAATCTTTTGTGCGTCGCGATTACATGTTAAATCAGTGAGCACACTTGCAAAAGCATTAATTAGGTTTTTACTAACCAATATCAGTATATTGTTATTACTGCATCATTTTGATACGTCTATTTAAATTAAATCAAGGCAAAATATGTTAATTTCGTGAAGATAAGCCCCGCCTCCTCGCCAGTGGTATAGTTTGAGTGACGCTAGTAAACACAAATGATGCTGCGGTCAAACTCGCAAGAGTAACGTGATGCGGTTCTTCGCTTAGCGTCCGGTGTGAACGCACCATGATTTTAATGAGTTGTCTTATATATATATATAAAATGGTACAGAATGCTTTTCTTGTTGCTGAGTATGTAATTCAGCAACTTTTTTTTCATAGCTTTGAGTAATAAAACATTTTGCTTCTGTATGTTACTTCTCTATAGACCAAAACTGTTCACTCCAATGACACAGTATGTAGATTTATCATTATTGTTTTAGGTACTCAGGTATAATTGTAACCATGGGGAACAATCTTTTTGCCTTAACTGCTGCTACTTTTTTTTTTTAACAGTGAGGGCTTTCACAAACAAAAAGGCCAAAAATGAATATTTCATGTTTTCTTGTCAGTTTTTCATACAAAGAGACTTCAATGTAAGGGGACACAATGAAACACTTTTTTCTTAGTAGTTGTTTGAAATCATATAACCTTTATTTTCCTCCATGTCTTGTAGCCAACCGATCGAGTTTAGAGTTGTGAAACTCAGGTGGAAACTAAGCACCAGAATTGACCCTTTACCTTACTTGTGTAGAGATTGTATACTAAAGGCTTATAGTAATTCATTTGCACATTGAAAACTTAATGATTTAAAGATCAGTGAATGTCCTTTCTGATAACATGTCCCAAGACCAACGTGAGCTGATAAAGGGAACTCTGTTGACTGTCTTTTTTTTTCTAAATCATACTTTGAAATTTGAAATGTGTAATAAAAACTGCGCACAGGTAAAACTGATTATTTAACAGATTCTTGTAATGACGTTAAACAATTTCTGCCTTTTAATGTATTTCTGCATACACCTATATATATATACAGTATTTATTCTTCAGAGCTGCTGTACCACCTTTGAGATCCTGCTCAAAGTTCACACCTTTATGGCACAATAAATCAAGATTTTAGAATGATGTCTAATTATTATTCAGCTACTTCAGGTGCACTCTGCTCAGCACTATAGCAGAAAGGGAAGTGAATAAATCAAGTGAGTTAATCCGAATAATTCCTTTTGACTCATAGCAAGAAATACAGGAGGTGGAACTAATAACATTAACAAGCCTCTGTCTCAGGCATTATTGCAAAGCAGCAATTAATCATCTTATTAGTAACACTTCTGTTTGATGGTAGTTCCTTTATTTCCTGTCAACAAAATAAGACATTTTGCTCATTTCCTCTTTTGGCTTTGTTGGCTAAATTCGGCCGCTGATCGTTTTTTAAACTGCCCAAAATGATAAATATATATATATATATAGAAAAGGCCCCGCAATTCTCTCTCTTGGCACTTCAACCAATATTTTACTGATAGCTACATCTTAATATTAGATGTACACATTTACATACCCATATTCATTTTCATCTTTGGAGAGGGCACTAGGTCAGAAACCAATATATGGCAATGTCTGCCTCATAATATTAAGTCTGCACTTAAGCTGTGCACTATATTAGAGTTTAAAAGTATATACATAATTTAAAGATACAGAATACTTTTTGTAATATGAAGGCACAGCAATTAAATGTAAAACTTTAAACTGTTAAGAAGTTAATTTGGCGGGGTTCCCGGTCTATAAAACTGATTTTCTTGCAATGTAACTGGTTGAAATGACAGCTTTTACTATAGTTTGGACCAAGACTCCTTATATTTTTTCTGTATGGACCATGATCAAAAGGTTTGCCCTCCCTGCTTTATGGGCTCCATACAAAGGCCCCTAAGCCAAAATTCACAGAGAATAGAATGTTCCCAACCATACAATGAACATTAAGGTTTAGAAATGTGAGCATATCAGTCCACGTGATGCGTTTCCAGGTCACTGATAGTAAAGAAGCGGCAGGGTAGGCTTAACCCACATAATCCATAATCTGTTTCACCTGGTGTCTAATGTTAACATGATAAAGATAGATAATTCTTGTGTTCATCCATCCATATGATCCTACAGAAGATATGTCAAATTAAGACTCCCTCCTGCCCATATGGGTCGGCTTTTACTGGAGACCTGATGATCTTCTGCAAACCTGTAACATTAGAGTTAGTCAGAGTGAGCGAGTGAGTCGTGGTGAGGAGGAAACAATAACTTCACTGTTTCTGTTGTGATCTTGTCGAGGGAATAGAGCAGGTCATGCACGTTATGCATGTAGGTAACCTTCTGTTCAACAATCAAATTGAAGCCTTACAGTAATAATAAGGAAACTTATCTAAGAACTGAAATGATGATGTTCCTGACCTTAACACTATCCTGGTTTTAGACATGTCAGCAAATACTGTTGCTCATTACATTACGCCAATGTACTCTGTTTGGATTGAATTACTTTAGATTAAATAGTTATTTTCGGTACGAAATTATACTAAGTTTAAATAAACATTTGTTTCACAGGTTTCAACATAGTTTTTTTTTCTTTTGATAACTTTAAACACTCAACCATATGAGCTTGTATGATGCCAGCATGAGATCTGTAATGGCCTAATGGCTTTCAACATTTTGTCAGTTTGAGCAAAACGAGCTGCAAGCCCCTAAGACCCTCTGTCTGTGGTAATTTAGTTCACAACAAATGCATATAGCAATATACAGAATGCAAGACAGATAATTATTAATGTTTTACTGAAGTAGTACTTATTTACAAGCATTTATTGTTTATTGGACACACTTAATCTGGGTCCTTATTCAGGAACAAGGAAAGCCTCAGAATTAGGATTTACTACGTGTCAACTGGTTTAATGCTTCTTATTTAAAATATATCGTTTTCTAAGCTTTATTACCAAAAGTTGAAATCCTTTCTTCTGGAGGAACCACTATGTCTATAATTTCCTTAACTGCATTAGGCCTATGCTGCCAATAACTTTATTATAACAGTTTTAGTGACTACAAAACATAATGAACATGAACAAATCCATTTGGAGGTCTGTATGATTCCCTTCTTAATGGTATTTAGAAAACAATTGCAATGTACAGAAGAATCTCCTCTTGCAGTATGCTGCCATCTGTCGGCAGGTGAATGTTTACCTGCTGTTTGTAACAGTAGGGCCTGGCTCATTTCGTGGCATCTGCAGGCAGTGGCAAGTACTTCCGGCATCTGCCACAGAGGCCACAGATACCACAGAGCAGAGGCCTCTGTGGCAGTTGCCGGAAGTACTTGCCACTGCCTGCAGATGCCACGAAATGCGCTTGCTGTCTCTCGTTTGTAGGTGAACTAGCTTCACTTCTCACTCATTCTAATTCATTTACTTTCCCACAAAACAACCACATGATGAACCGTCAGAGTAAAGCTCCACCAAACCTTTCAGCTAAAGGTGCTAAAGCAGCAGCTCCAGCCTTCAAGCAGCAGCAGCCGCAGCCGCAGCCGCAGCAAAGGTAACTGGAAGGTAACTTTAGCCCAGTGCTTCGCTTTAAAAACTAAACGTTAGCTTAGCAACGCTAATATATCTGAGAAAGTGTTCCGGTTAACAATGGCGTGCAATGTTGCTGGTTTGAATAGTTGGGAAACTGAGGGTGCATGCAATTATTATTAACCGCTACTTCGTATATTTTTTTTGCAATACACGGTTGTGTATGTGGCTAAAGCTAACAACACAACATGCTAAGCCAGTTTAGTTTGCTAGCCTAACTTGTTGAAGTTAGCACAGATAAAACACCATTCTGCATTTACCTTGCAATATGCAGGTTTTGTGGCGTATTCTTTTACTGTTGTATTTACTTAGTTTTGTGCTAATTGTTCACGTTGTCATCTGTTTTCTGTGATAAATAGAATACCCCAGGAGTTCAAAGAAGCTATGCTTCACATCCCAGTGAAGCCAGCAATCAACTCACAGCCGACATTATCTACGGCTGCTACCGCAAAATCAGCAAAGAAACGTCCAGGTAACTTCAATGAACACACTTAGAAACAGGCATTTAGACACTAAATCATCAAGTGAATGTTTCTTTTTCTTAAATATATGTTTCGAATGTTATCACAGGGCATGAGGGACATTGGAGAGTGACATGCAACAACGTTTCCCACCTGGATTTGCACTTTAATCCCTAGGCCACTACATTGCCCCAGTCTGTATTTGATCTTTAGTCAGAGTGATTGTATTTGAGAGGTAATACTGCAGCGCTTTAAAAAACACTGCACGTATACTGCTAAAGCATGTCATAGTTTTGGTTCTAAAAAGATATCAAGGGAAACCAGTCAGCTGTAGGAAAAGCTATTTCTGGGTTCCTTTTTCCATTTTCATATTTGGGGATTACTGTTCTTTTGTACATGTTATAAACAAACAACTTCACAATACTTTATTCAAATTTGTATTTGAACAAATATGTACCCTCTAACAAATATTGTGCTTCCTGCGATTGGAATATTACACTACTCTCGATAGCAATTATGATAACATGTTGCTTGATTGTGCAGGCCTAACCCAATGTGTCAGAAATAAATGATGTTCATTGTTATTCATATTGTTCTTATCATAGCGCAAACCTCTGTTGATAAATGGAGGTCTTCGTTTCAACCATTAGGAGATGGAAATTACTCTATGGACGAAAGCAATGAAGGTTCACGAAGGTAAGCAGCCAGTGATTTCTACTGTAAACTAAGTGTCAGGTAGAAAGTGATGTTCCCTGTAGTCACAATCCAGGACATCAAATATGTCAACCTTTTACTTTGTCTTGTTGTGACTTAATTGTTGAAACGTGGAACAGTTTCACTCAACCTCCTATTAGTTTTTTCTCATTCTAGAAAAAGTAATTGTATTTAATTGTTTTCCCCCAACAGCACATAACATTCATAGTGTATGTGTAAACATTAAGTGGTTAATAGTATCATGTCCTTACAGAAGATATAGTGCTGCAACTGACCATTATTTATATCATTCATTAATTGGTCCATTATTTTCTAGAATAAATGTTTGGTTTTAAATGTCAGTAAATATATGTCCATCTCAGTTTCTCAATGTCCAAATGTCTTCAAATGTGTTGTTTTGTCATTCCAAAACCCAAAGGTTTTCACAAAGCAATGTATTCTGGAAACAGCAAGGATTCATCACTTTCGATAACTATCCAACCATAGCAAATCTAATATGATCTAGCTAATAGTAAATTGCATTCAACAAACACACTAACCCTTCTTTGTTCTCCCCCAGGGTTGAGATTTATGATCCTTACGATCCCGTCTCGTCAGACTCTGAGCACGAGATGCTACAAGCCCAAAACCGTAACCAGTCACCCCCGGATCAGGACAACCAACTAGAACATCAGCATTTGTCTCCAGGTCAAGACTGCCAGAAAAAACGCCGCTTTGCCTCGACCTTCATTGAGTCAGTGAGCATCAACATGCAGGACTTGAGCCCTGAAACTGGACCCAGCGAGGGTCGAGATCTCAGTCCAGATCATAGACTACCTGACCATAGACTGCCTGAGCGACAGGCTTATAGCCCCAGCACTGAATCACATGACATTTCAGGTTATGACTCCATGAGAAGACATCTGGACCACAGAGTGGACAGCCCTGACCGACTCATTCAAGACTCCTCCACCCAACACTTTCCTCCATCCTATGGAGAACAGCGGACCAACGGGGAGGAGAGGATCACAGTCCCAGAATACATGAGACAGGTATCAATAATAAAACTCAACAACCTGCAATGTTTGTTTCCTGAAGGTTGATGTTTGTGCAGTTTGTGTTCTGTGGCTTTAGGCCCATCTACTTTTGTCACACAATAAATATTGTCCCAGTAATAATTGCAATAAATGATATAATTGTCAGTGTTTTATGGCACTAATGTAAAGCAATTCACTTTTTATTATTATTATAATTTTTGTATACACTGGAATTGGAATGTGACTCTAAATATATAAACAAAGTGCATTGTAACAACTTACTTGCTATAAATGATATACAACAATAGCACTGCTTTATCATTTGGCTTAAACTGAAGATGTTCCAACATCGTAGTTATGGACAATAAATCATTATTGTGTCGGGTCCAGTTGTAGACTTAAACAGCATACATGATCTGTTTGATGTGCTTTTCTATTATGTTGCATGATACTGTGGTACCCATAACAGCTCATTCTCTCCTGTGTAGATGACCAAAGTTAGATTATCCCCCCCCAGGCTACAGAGGGACTATCCACTTCCGTTGGAATCCAGGAGAACAGGTACATTTGTCATATGACCCACCATTTTAAGTAAATGTAGGAGAAGTCAATGTAGGAGAAGTCAATACAGGCGAACCAATTAAATTGCATGAATCAGCTTATGGGATGTTTTGTTTGGAAACCTATTTGAATAAGCAAAACAGTACTTCATTATCGTGTTGTGTGCATGTATTTCCTCTGTAACCTCATAATTATTCTGTTTCTAAGGTTCTACTGGATTGGACCAGGTTCCACCTTCATCTGATGTGCCAAGAATCAGGAAGTTGAGAATGATAATGGACACGTAAGAACTAAGGATACTGATGCCCGATTGTTTAAATATGCTACACGTAGAGTATTTACATCACACTCACTGCAACAGCAGCAACAAGAAATCACATGGTTATATATTTTTCAATTTTTTTATATTGTCATCTGCCATAGTTTGGCTAAAATAGTGCACAAATGCAGAGCCTTTCAACCAACATAAAAATATGGCAGTATTAGGAGTAACATAAGAGGAGGAAATGCACACAACTTCATTCCTACGCTGATAGGATAGTTGTTTTTGGCTGTCATCAGCTAAAGTTAGGGCTGGGCAATGTATACAAATATACACAACTACATATATACACAACTTGCACTAGGTATGATGTTTTAAATGAATAGCGCAAACATCTAGGACAAATTGTCTTGTCATTTTTTTAAGCTGGCATGAGCTTTGGCCGCTTTTTCCCATGGCTGTCTCTCCCGCTCATAGACACACAAAAAACACTCATCATAGCCTAAAAGTATGATGGTATTTTTTAGGTCATTTATCCAAGCCCTAGCTAAAAATTCAATGTAATTGCCAACAAAAATTCTTGTTCAGAGCTCCTTGAATAGCTAAGTGTATTGTATCTCAAATGTGTCACGTTTGTTATAGGGTATAAACACTGGGTAAATGACCAAGTTGACAGAACATTACCATTGTGCACACTTTTAATTCCAATTGTTTTAAAACTTTGTGACTTTTTGCTTTGGTACTTTGAATGTTAGCCACTGTAGTTGCAAAGCTTTATTCTAAACTGCCACTGAGCATGACTTATTATGATGCGAGAGCTGTGTTGAACTGATCTACGACTGACAGTTCTGTAGGGACAATCTCTTTGATTGTTTTGGAAACGGCTTTAAAACCTGATATGGAGGTTTTAACAAGTGACTTAAATGTTAGAATGTTTTGGTTGTTAGTTTGGTATACATGGTTGTCACTTTAAGCTTGTATAAGATTATATACATGTTTATTTTGTGCTGTTAAAGGTCTGTTTTTTAGCAATACTAAATGTCATTATATTTTTCTTTTAGTATCCCCTTAGACATCTCCTGTGACCTTTGTGACGTTGAGTTTATCAATGGCTTGGAGCTGGATGATCACTTGGAGAGCAAGAGTCATTGGGACATCCTGGAGTACATCCAGCAGCACAATAACTATGATGATGTGACAATAGCCTTCATACAGGTAAATAATACATAGTATGGCTAAATACATCCTATTGCCTATACCAAATGTTGGTGCATATCATTATTTTGTTTTCTTGGTGATGGAAGGTTTTTTTATTTCCGTAGGAAGTCATGCTGCATAAAAGCCATCAGTGCACCCGAACCATAGAGAGTAGTGCACTTCAAGGTAAATCTCTTCCAAACAACTTCGAATGACACACGATCTCTTATCAAAGTATTTTCTATTCCAGACAATTCAAGTCTAAATACAATCCGTTCTTTGTTTTGTCAGCTCTGCAGGAAAACGACCACATGACAAAGATTGAAATGTTCCACTGTGCAGCTTGCAGCGTCTTCCTATCCACAGCTGCTTCCTCAGTGCACGCTCACATCACCTCTCAGGAGCACCTCGTCAACACCAAGGTAGCACTGCTGTACGGTAGCACTGCTGTACGGTAGCACTGCTGTGCAGTAGCATAACTTTTAAAGCTGGTATAAGCAGTGTATTTTATTTTAGGCATCATCAGGAAAGCATTTAAACTTTGGAGGATATTTATTTATTTAAATGGTCAGGGAGAAAACTAAATTCCTGAATCTTCTCTTTACTCGGTCTTCACGCTTTAGAAAATCTAGCCTGAAATCCACGAAAGATGTTTGCGACTCACAGGTCATTTCGGTTACAAATGCATGTGCACGTCCTTTCAGATAGTGAGAGACTGGTGCAACCACTGCCTACATTAAAAAGCAAACCCTTAAAAGGAAGACAGATTTTTTTTTTATCAAAAAGAGAAATAAACAATATTTGCAAAATAATTTTACAGAAAGAAGAACATTTTGCTCATAATTTAGTTTAAGGCTCACCATAGCCAAGGATTACAGATAAGCTACAGTTGGCAGAACTGCTACAGTTAGCAAAAAGCTAAAATATTAGCAATGTTTTTTCTTAATCTTTAAAACACTTTGCTCACATGCATTTTCAAGCATTTGGACTACCTATGTTGTAAATGTATTATAACATCTATTGCACGTCTGTCCGTCCTGGGAGAGGGATCCCTCCTCTGTTGCTCTCCTCAAGGTTTCTTCCATTTTCCCTCATTAACTGGGAGGGTACCCTTTTGGAAGTTTTTCCTTGTCCGATGTGGGGGTCCAAGGACAGAGGGTGTCATATTCATATTCTGTACAAACTGTAAAGTCCACTGAGACAAATGTACATTTGTGATATTGGGCTATATAAATAAACTTGAATTGATTTTAGCTAGCGAAGGCCTCGCTACGCAGGTTCTGTCGTCTCAAAGGTTACAGACCAACACATTTGCAAAAGAAAACGGACAGTAACATAACTATTGTTTTGGAGATGAATGACTGTGAATAACCATGCTTGTGTGGCGGGAGTGGCTTAGGACTGAAGGAAAAACTGCAGGATGAGGGCTGTATCTTCGAATTCTGGCATACCATGTGACATGGTACAAGTTACAACTAGGACTAAACTATGCTCGAAAGTTATTATGGGCTTTTTAGCCAATGATGCTAACGATAAACTGCCTACCCCAGCTTTGACAATTCGTTTTGTCTTAAATCTCTTTTTCTTTTGTCAAGTATAAGTGATGATTATAATTCTGATCGGATTTCTTTTTTTACTGAAGGATTTTCAGGTGGAGCGGAGACTTTCCTGCCTTGACAAAGCAGAAACCATTATGAAGAAGCTGAAACATCAGTTTGAACACTTCCTGGAGGTATTTTGCAAGAAACAACATTTCAAAACTATTCCAACTCAGCCAATGGCATCATGGAGAAATGTGTGAAGAAGTAAGAAATGAGGCCAGAAATGCAGGGAACACTTTATTGATAAATATCTCCTTCTCGTCTTTGCATTCTTATTTTGTTTCTTCAATTAAGTAGATCATTCTAATATTTTATGAATTACAGAAATAATCCCCTAAAGTTAAAAGCATGAACACTCACCTTACATTTTGTATATATGACATGTCACTAGAGACTGCTGGGATACTCTTAAGATTTGTTTAGTTTTTGGACCAAGAGACATGGACATACTTAACAATCTTAGCTAGCTAACATGCTAACAATATCGCTATGCTTAACATCATTTGAGATTTTCAATGTGGTATTATGTTGGCACAAGCAATATATTCATATTGACCAAGTCAGTAATCTGCTATTGAGTCCAAAAGAAACCGGTTATGAACTGGCTCTGTTTACTAATGCAAATAACAAGCTATTCTAAAGAGAGGTTTACAGCCTGTCAGATGCTATATTACCTGATCAGATGATCTATTTTATACCAGCCATCTAAAAGATGCATTGCAACAAAAGAACACTTTTCGTCGTAAAATGATACCATAATAACTTGGTTCTGAAAAACATGTAAGTTATTATGTAGCTGACCCTTGTGTGGGTAAAGGTACATCTGAGGCCTGTACTACGAAGCCGGATTTTCGCTTAGCGAGCTAACTTCAGGGAAAACTCAAGGTTTCCGGTCCTACAACACTGGTTCACTTCTTAGCGGGCTAGATCTCCATGGTAACTTATGCTGAACGGCTAGCCAGGGGCCTATACTACGAAGCAGGATTTTCGTTTAGCAAGCTAACTTCTGGGATTTCCGGTCCTACGAAGCTGGTTCACTTTTTAGCGGGCTAGATATGTGAATATGTGAATGGTGAATCGCTTCTACTTGGAGCATATCGCCACTATACTGTTGATTTATTTAATGTATAAACTGCCCATATTGTTCATGTAGAACAGTTTTCATGTAAGCATGCACATTGATTTTATTTTTAATTGAATGTAACCGTTTCAATAAGGATACATCTATTACAGGTTGAGGTAGAAACCATGGTGATAACAACAGTGTGCAGAGTTTAAAGCGATCAAGTCATATTACAGGATAAATGAAATAGGCCTACAGTTTAAACTGCCGTTGCAGTTCAAATCACCGACTGTGTGAACGTGAAAATGAATAGAATATCACCTCCCATCTTCAGAGCAATCTGACTATTATAACATTAGCGTTAAGAAAGCTTACTTAAATATCTGCCACAACATAAGTAACCGGATCAAAGTAACATTACGTACAATCCGCGGCACTGAGTGCAGACGTCGACGTGCCATTATCATTCATATCACATCATAATGTATCATATATTTCCTTATCTGAGTCAGCTTCTTGAGCCGTATCTGGCCGTGCAACACTCACAGTGTCACATACTGTATGCAGAAGTATTATTGACGTGCCGTCAGGTCGAACCGGATGACTGCGGGGCTAACGGCCCGTCTACACTACAGGCGTCGAAAAAGCTTGAAGCTGGGCGTGTCTGAGGCTTGGCGATTTTTTGCGAGCAACGCGACCAACAACCAATCACATGAATCTCCCGCCCCCGACATACAAAGCAATAGCAATGTTAAAACGAAGTAAACTGGATATAAAATCCCCAAACAGGCGAAAACCTACCAGTTTCACCCACTGTCTCTGCCACCTCCCTCCATGCCTCGCTCCTCCGGTTTGTATCCCGGTAGATGAACAGAGACTGATCATACAGCACCGGGTGATTCACCGCTATAATGAATTTTCCCTCCATTTTTTTTAATATGAGGAAATGACCTGCGTAGTCTCTCCCAGCATACACGCGGTTTGATTGGCTAGCTTGTACTGGCAGATTTGCATAAACGGGATTTCATTGGCTGACGCCAGCTTCGAGCAAGCATCGAGCTTCAAAAGTTGAACATTGTTCAACTTTTGATGCCGATAGACGCTCGCGATGCTTGCAACGCCTTGCCATAATACCCACAATGCAGTTCGGCGAAGTTTGAAAATATCCTACGTCACCCCATTCAAATGAATGGGCGAAGCATTGAAAGCATTTTTTGACGCCTGTAGTGTAGACGGGCCGTAACGGTTCGTGTCGCTACCAGTCCGCTGACATGGCGCGTCAATCAACGGTAAGTTTTGCCCATTACTTGCCCAGTATTACTTTGAATATTGTTATTGTGATTGAGGATTAAATCCGCTTTGAAGACCACCGTTTTATATCGTGCAGTTTAGCGGCAAAATAACGTCAGTTAGCCAGCTAACGCTAGCTTTGTTGAGTTTATGCTAGCTAAAGTAGTGGTTGTCGTCTACAGCAGTAATTCATATATTATAGCCTATTGCTTTGGCACTAACGGTTGATAACCGTTTATGAAAATAAAACCAATTGAACTGTGCTGAAATAATGACGAGTTTTATAATTGTCTTGGGCTCCTGCTGTGTTTTTAAAGCCTTTGTAAATTATCCATGCTATTTTCTATTTAGAACGAAGACTTCAGAATCTTAAAATCCCTTGACGTTTGTATGCAATTGTGCTAAATTCAACTCTGGAATCAAGCAAATATTAATGTTTGCATGACATTAGTTATTTATATTTTGCCATCACTTAATGATACGTTTAATACATTTAAGTCAAGCTAAGGTACATGTGATGGTAGCTAGTTAGTGCTCTTACCTGTGATGCCTCCTCCAAACAGCATAATAACCAGACTGTATCATTAAAACTACAAGTACCAGTTCTAGATCCTTGACTTTAGACAAACAATTCAAGAGACAAAATGTATTTAAAGACCAATCTTTATTTGAAGGGGCCTCTTAACCTGAGATATTAGTTATACAGTAATAGTATTGACAATCTAAAAAAACTGAGCAACTCAACAGTCAACTTTTTATTTCTTATTGTCCAAAGCATTTATTATTTTCATTTTCCCCCTCTCATATTCAGTGTGGACGGATTGAGACAGCTGCTGAGACTTCAGGGAGAAACCTCCGTGTGATGGACGTCCTGTCTGTTGGTTTGGAGAGGACTGAGGGTCTTTCCTCTGCGAGGAGGACCAGGCCTGATGGAGGAGCCCATGCTGGGCATAGCTGATACCAACTGCACAGGCCTAGTCTGTCACTTTATTTGACTAAATGTGTTTACTTATACATTTAATAGGTTTACACCTTCTGTCCATATGTGCTTTTTATTTAAAACATGTTTGATTAGCTTTTGGTTCACATTTCAATAAATTGTATTTGTATTCCTTTTGTCCATTATTCTTACTGAAAATGTTAGATTACACATTCACATCTGACTGAAGATTGGCCCCATTTATTTGTGATGTTGCAAACTCTGCGGTACAAGGCACAAGTGATGTGAAGCTCATAAAGTGAGGCAAATAGAAATAATCAGCTGATGGAGTGTAGATGTGGAAATAGATGCATCTCATCAGCTGACTATGTTTTTCGCCACACTTTATAAGCCTGACTATAACCACCCCTTCTCTGAGGTGCAGGCAGCGTCACAAACAAATGATGGTCCTGAGAGACTACAAAAATATTCGGTGTGCAGATCTTTGTTTTCACAATAAAAGTAGTTTCTTAGACCCCGGCCACACGAGGACGAAAACGGCTAAACGCATAGGATTAACGCAAACGCAATCGCAAACAAGCTTCCGTCCACACGCAATAGTTATCCGGATAGTGTCTGCCCACACGAGACCGCTCCGTTTAGCTCCAACCGCTGGAGAAGCTGCAGTACATATGCAGGAGCCTGTACGTGGCGCTGTAACTTCCTCCACAAAAGCAGCGAAGAAGCATGGTTGTCACGGTTGCCCTTCTGTTTATTCTCCGCGGTGGGGGCCGAGGGAACCGGGCAGAGTTTTTCGCCAGTCAACGTGTATTAAAGTTTAAATCTTCCGACAAAATTATAAAAGTGCCGGTCAAAGGTGTTCTTTGTTATTTATTGAGCTTTAAAACAAATGAATAATGACTCTATATAATATAATAATATAAATGCACGGAGCCTCTCTTTTTCCTCCCTCTCTTCGGACAGCGCCAGTGTCTGTTTCATGCAGCAGCTGATCCAGTAATGAGTGACCCGGCCGACAGTAAAAATAAACATATTTATAACTAGTTTAGGTAGTTTGAGAGGTGTCTCCGTCCTGTCAGATTAGACTTCACTCGCGTTTATGTCCATATCGAGAGAAAGATAAATAATCTGAATTCAGTGTGCAGTTTACTTTGACGCGGGGGTGAGCAGCAGAGGTGGGGAGAGGCGGGGCTATTGCGCAATCATTATCAGAAAATGATCGCTGAAGCTGCAGTACATATCCACAAAAGCAGCGAGTAAGATCCCCCCGGATATGTAAGTCTGCTGTAGATTTTGCACAAAGAACTGTAGCATGGTCAGTAGCGTCCGGAGCACGATAGCAACTCTGCGATCTGCCATTGTTGTTGTTGTTGGTGGCGAAACACATCAGCAATGGCGCGGGGTACGCGGAGGTGAGCAGCAGAGGTGGGGAGAGGCGGGGCTATTGCGCAATCATTATCAGAAAATGATCGTATAGGGCGCACACACGGAGCTGTTTGACCCCCCAGAGCGTTGCGTATGCCGTTCTATCCACCTTGGGACCCGTTATCGTTTCCTCAGTCGTTTAGTGCCGTATGCGGTCGTCCTCGTGTGGCCGAATGGTCTATATGACACTAAACGGTAACGCAAACGGCCGTTTTCGTCCTCGTGTGGCCGGGGCATTAGTGAATGTCCTGTACTGGTCTTAAAATCTCATAACATCAGCTTTTAATGTTCCTCTTGGATGTTCTTCTTGACCCTCAGAGAAGGAGAAAATGTTGAGTCGTGTCTTTCAGGCATGTCCTTTCCTAACAAAAATGACAGGAAACATAAAACATATTATTGCAGAACAAGTGTGTTATTTATGAAAGAGGTGTGTTTGTGTGTTTAGGGGCTGTAGATATAATTATTTTTTAATTGTAATCAGATTAT